AAAAATACAAAAATTAGCTGGGCGTGGTGGCGGATGCCTGTAGTCCCAGCTACTCGGGAGGCTGAGGCATGAGAATTGCTTGAAACGAGGAGGCAGAGGTTGCAGTGAGCCGAGATTGTGCCACTACACTCCAGCCTGGTGACAGAACGACACTCAGTTTCAAAAAAAAACTGGGCTGTTTCTAGCTATAGCTTTAACCACAGATTGTCAGAGATGCTAACACTTGATTCCTAATAGTCTTATTTCCCCCAAATAAAATAAAAAATTTAAGACAGAAAGATAAAAACAGGATTTAACTTATATTCCATCACACAGAGAAACCAGGAGCTCCTATTTCTTAAGGGTTTTCTTTCAATGTGGAAATTTTTCATAGAGCAAAAGAAAAATAAAAACAAAATGTGGTGTGCTCACATTTTTGAGAAGTGATGCTAAAAAGTTTTTTTTAAAAAGACACGCATATCTATAGAACAATTGTTATGTGTAAAATTAAAAGATGGAATCACAATTTTACAGTGTTACAACCCACAAATATCTCATTTGTTGCCCAGACTTCCCATTTCTGAAGTTGAAAAATACTTTCAATTGGATACCAATCTGAAAATGAAAACAAAAATAATTTTTTAAGTCTGTTAAGTCCTCCTTGTTTGGTTATGCGCCACACTGTGGTAACAAAAGTGATTCATAGGACCTATATTCATATGAAAAAAAACCAAACTAAATTATGTTTAAATTATGTTTTCATTCTGGGACCTCAAAATACCAAAATACCAACCTTTAGATGTACTTTAGAATATATCACAAACTAGAAAGTATATATACTTTCGGCTGGGCGCGGTGGTTCATGCCTGTAATCCCAGTACTTTGGGAGGCTAAGGTGAGCTGATCACTTGAGGTCAGGAGTTTAAGACCGGCCTGGCCAACATGGTGAAACCCCATTTCTACCAGAAATACAAAAATTAGCTGGGCATGGTGGCGGGTGCCTGTAATCCCAGCTATTCAGGAGGCTGAGGCAGGAGGATCGCTTGAATCCGGGAGGCAGAGGTTAAAATGAGCTGAGATTGTGCCACTGCACTCCAGCCTGGGCAACAGAGTGAGACTGTGTCTCCAAAAAAAAAAAAAGAAAGAAAGTATACATACTTTCTAGTATAAACTACATATATAATCAGACCTCCTCAATCAGATTCTGAGGGTGAACCTTAGCATCTGCATTTCCTAAGATGAATTTACGTTTTTCCAAAATATACCAACCCTGCATGCAAATGAGGACAAAAATCTGGATAAACATCAAAGAATTATTTAATCTAATATCCCTATCAAAAAAAAGTAGTTGCCTTCTATTTTTTTTTTAAATATACAAATCACTATGACCTAACAGTTTTACCTCCACCTGCCTAACAAGACATAATCATTATTGCCAAAACAATCTTAAGTACTGGTCTAGCACATCTCTCATCATAAAAAAGCCACCAAAGATCCAAACCCAGACCGGATGTCCAGACTTCAGCATAATAGCAATCCCTCCCAAGGACAAAGCCAAAAATAGATCCTGAGCTAAATGGGAATTCCTAGCACTAAGATCCATCCTTATAAGCCCTTTCCGGGGATAGGCATTTTAAATGGTTTGCAGAAGTATGTTACCTGAACAGGTTAACATGGCATATTCATCAAATGAACAAATTATCAACAGGTAGAGAGCAGGGCCCAACAAAAATAGGTCATACCATGGCAACTTTGGACAGAAAACAGAGAAACTACAAAAAAACCGTACTGGAATAGATGAGTATTGAAGGCTAGAGTGACAAGATATAAACTAAATTCACTTCCTTTACAAATGCATATAGGTCAGTAGGTGGAACCAGTGACAAGATTTTTAACTAAAAGATATGTGGTCCAAAATTACTGAAACTGTTTTTTGTTAAGCTCACACACTTCTCTAGATATATAGGGATACATGAGAAAGTGTAAGTGAGAAAGAGTCCACTAAAATAGGATGAATGTGTAACAAAATCCAATACCAGGCTCGATAAATCTTGCAATCATAAATTCTATGGATAATGAAATACTCTGCATCATCACACCCAGACCAATGGGAGCATTATACATGCGTTACTTTTTGTACTCAGAAAGATGAAGTATATAACTGTCTACTGTACCATGTTATTTGAAAACACTAGAAAATTCTACAGCAATCCTTCAAAAGTTTTCAAATAAATACCCTGTCCATCTTAAACCTGAAAAGCACTTCAAATTGCTAACATTTAATTTCTTGTTGACTGTAGATATTGTCATTTCTGTTTTCCTTATAAAAGGATGCTAAATAAGGCTGCAAGAAGTGACTGTTACATTAACCAAAATTATGCACTGCCAGGCTGTCTCCAGCATCAACTCCGAAAGATAGGAAAGGATCAGAAATCCAATTTCCTACATGAAAGTTGAAGCATTGCTTCTTTTTTTGTTCTCTTCTGTGGGATTCTTCCATTGTCCTCCCAAATGTGACAGTTTGCAAATACCCACATCTAGAAGTATATTCTATGAGAGAAAAGACGCCAATTTTAAAACTTGAGAAAGTACTTTAATTCTGTAGGCAAAGGTTCATCAAATCAGCTAGCACTAATCTTGACCAAATGGGTGAGTCAGCCTTGTCACTGAGAATTTTTTTTTTTTTAATTTAGATGAAATTTCACATTTAAAAACATGGTAACTCCAAGCATTCTACCAAGAACAAAGAATAAGCATTGAAATAGTCACTTACAAGGACTTAACGACTTGTATTAAACATATTTTACACTAAAGTACTAGATGGTCTCTCTAGTTCCTTTTAGCTCAAACCTTCCTTAATTCTTCGAGTAACTTCACCAGACTATTCTTTAAGTTTTAGTAATTACAAACAGAACCTGAATGAGAAAAAAAATTCAGAATTAAAGTTGTTATCAGTAAGCCTAATTAAACAGTACAGACAGAAAGATGGCAGTAGAATAAAGCATTCTATATCAAGAGAAGGGAGAATATAATCAGTAGTTCGCAGCCTCATGAATGAAGCACAGCATACAACAAAGTCTGGCTGGGATTTGGGTAACTAACGTACCTAAACAGGGACAGACTGAGGCCCCTATTAATGGGATACTCTACTTGAAGTAACCAACCACACTCAGGAAAACATGTCAACCAGAGAGTGAATCCTCTAATTTTAGTGAGTCGTCTCCCTTACTGGCAGTTTTCCTACTTTCTATCTTAAAAGGGAATCCACACACTCAACACCGCAAAATGGTAAGACATCTCATCTCACCCCTATATCGTGGGTCTGGCACTTCTGGGTCGCACAAAAGCCATCGTTCTAACTAGTGTGGGATTTATGCTCCCCGTTCAGTGAAGGGCTGTCTGTGGCTGTTTGCAGGGTGCAGGCTCCCTACGTTGACTCTCGCTTCCTGTCACACAGTGGTATCACCGTGACGGACCCTTGACATGAACAAGTCTTTGACTGAAAAACTGATGTGATCTGCAGCCAGTGAGGGGAAGCGTGGTGGCCCGGAGCAGTACCTCGGCAGGGTCAGCAAGGTGGCACTGCGGGAAGGCACCTCTGCGGCCCCGAGCGAGGTGAGCAAGCCTTTCCTGAAGTTTTCCTTCCTTCCACAACATTAACCTGCCAAGCCTCCCACCCCCACCCCGCCCTATTAGGAAAAGTCACGCCGGCAGCTCACTGAAGGGCAGGGGGACAGCTCCTGGCGCCCCACAAAAGTTGGGCTCGGCGGCTGCCACAGCTTAAAGCTCCTGCAGGACAGTCGGGCCGACACCGCCTCCTCCGGGGGCAAACCTGAGCTGCCAACTTTCCCACTGCCCACTCCTCTGCGCACAGCAGCCCAAACTTTGCGGTTCGCCCACCGGCCGCACCCCGGGCGAGCGG